AGAAGTGCAGCCAGAGTGCTCCTTGGAGGCCAAGACGGCCAAACTTCGTCTCTCATACTTCAGACATGTTGTCAGGAGGGACCAGTCACTGGAGAAGGATATCATGTTTAGTAAAATGGATGGTCAGAGAAAAAGAGGAAGACCCCCAATGAGATGGACTGGCCAAGTGGCAGCATCAATGGACTCAAGCATGGCAACAATAGTGAGGTTGGCCCAGGATTGGGCAGTGTTTCGTTCTGCTGTGCATAAAGTCACTATGAGTCGGTACTGACTCAATGGCACGGAAAAACAACATATGTTATTACTAGTTGTAGGCTTCTGTTGTTGTTGTTAAGTGCTGTCAAGTCAGTTCCGACTCATAGTGACCCTGTAAAGGGTTTTGAGGAGTTGCTGGTGAATTTGGACCACTGAACTTGCGGTTCAAACCGTGGGTTACATATCTTTTTTGCTGAGAGAACAACTCCAAATCATCTTTATTTTATATTAAAAAGGGCACATTTAGCAAAAGACACACTGAGAAAAGAGTTGCTAAGATCCAGGAGACCAGGCAAGGAGGTACAGGCCTTCTGAGGCCTCCTGAGGGGGGACTACATAACTTTTATCAATAAATCTCATAATCAGCTTACGGACACATCCATGTGTGCACTTTTTCAAAGAGCTGGTTTTAAAACGTTTGTCAGCTTCCCATTATCCTAAGTCCATTTATCCTGACTCCAAATGGGCATCAGAACCCTAGCCCTGGGGTCGACATAGTATTAACTTCTCTTATCTTACTGCTCTCAAGTTCCTCTTGGCAACAAACACCTGAAGCTTGCTTTCTGTCTTTAGAGCTTGGTTATCTATCTAAAATGCAAAGTATGTTTTGTCTAGCATGTCTAAATATTTATAACCAGAGATCAATATTTACATGCCATCTCAGTCTGCCATACTGCCCCTGGCCCTAAATTCTGAAATAAATTTATCTTGAGAAGCTTCACATTATTAGAGTACGTGTTCATATGAAATGTTTAGTGACCATGTCATCAGTAATGTTTTTGTAGTAAGTAGAAAACAAAGTTTCATGGATACTTAGAGGTAGGATTCTAAGATGAAGGCAAACCCAGAAAAGCAGATCCTAAGAGACTAAACTGTTAAGAATGTAACTGGAAGTTGATCAATTGAGATTTAGTGACTTTTTGGGGACCCGCCTTGACATTGGGGTTCGGTTCACGAGGAGAGGATACCTGACGGCGATTCATATATATCAAGAATACACAGAAAGAGACAAAGAGAGAGACAAAGAGGCACCCCAAAGCCAGGGTGGATACATCACTGGTGGGCAGGCCTGGGAGTACAGGCATCGTGGCCTCTGCAGGCAGCAACTCACTGCCCTGCAATCTTTACCGCATGCCTTCCAGCCAGTAATGTACTGCCATCATTACTCCATGCCTTCCAACCAGTAATGCACACCTGGGGAGGCTCGGGCCTCTGCTTTATTCAGGGGAGGAGCTTCACACCAAGCTGGGAGGGACTTAGGCAAGGTACAGCTAACATCAGTACTTTTCCAGACATTCAGGTAACTTTACATTGTGCTTTGCTAGTTCGAATCCCAGGCCAGCAACTTGGTTTCTCAAGCCCAATTAACATATCTATAGCCCCTGAGCATAGTTGGGGGAAGGTGAGAGATAAAGTCAAAAGCTTGGGCGGAGTCCTGCTGCTTTGGCTTCCTGAGCCAGGTCTGCAGGAGGACTCCAGAGGCCCAGGTGAATGGGCTGCACCTGGAAAAGGATTAGGGAGGATGGGTTCTTTGTCTATGGAACAAAGAGCTGTGAAGTAGCTAAGATATTTTTAGTTAATCCTTTGGAGAAAGGCTTAACCTTGCAACCTTTAGTCTCGGCTTTAGGAAAATACCACATTTATCTGTGGATTGTCAAAGGCTCCAGTGTATTAATTTAATATATATACCTGAATATTAATATGAAAGCAATTTGCCATTAACTGCCAGTGGCCTCATTTGTTACACTCGGCCCTAGAGGGCCTCGAACCTCTGACTAGTCTTACACGGTCTGCAACAGTGACTGATTTTTTTAAAGTGAAATTTTGATAGACACTAAACCTCTTATTCAGAAATTATCTAATTTTGTGATGAATGAACTCTGTTGTTGTTGTTAAGTGGCATTGAGTCATTTCTGACTCACAGTGACCCTGTATAGTTTCCAAGGAACAGCTGGTGAACTTGAACCACTGACCTTGTGGTTCAATACAACTTTGCAGTGCAGCACATTAATCCACAGCACCACAGCAGTAAATGATGAAAACTAAGTACCTTTTCCCTGCAGTTCTTGTTTGAAATATTTTCAAACGCTTTTTTCTGTTGTTGAATGGAAGAATGCTTATTGTATTGCCAGGGATGGCTACGTCTTCATTCCATGAAGGACAAAGGAGTAAATCTTTCCGTGGAATTTGAGTTTTAGATGAGAAATGGCAAGAATCTTTGGCAAGAAAACATCCTGAAACACACTGTTCTAGGGCCCCTGCTCTCCATGAGATGGTGCAGTGAATGTCTTTCCTTCCACACCAGGAGTGAGGACAAAAGAGGGCATCTCTAAGGGTTTCCTGACTTTCCCGTGAATGCAAGCCCAAGCTTTGCAAGTCTAAGAGGAGAGCGCAGATAAATACTTAAAGTTCAGATCATGTATGAAACTTTTCATTAAAATTAATTGCTTTTCTAAAAATAAAATCTCAGTGACATTCCAGCCCTCAGTACACATCTAACTTAGTAAATAAAAAAGCAGTTCAATCTAGAGCTCTAAGAAATGCTCACTCTTTGTTTTAGAAATCTAAATGTTCAATAATTTCAGGGAGGAAAAATAGATGTATAGAAGGGGAAAAAAATTGCTCATTTATCCCCAAATAAAGACCACTCCAAGATGAAATCAAAAGTTTAATATGACACAATTAAATATATATATTATATATTTATATCTCACACTGGAGGATTCTTTTGAACTATAAGAAGTTAGAAATTATAAGCAGTCATATGCTTTTTATAATCAGATAAGTTAGTTTCTATTAATTACTTAAATTTCAGTTGGAGAAAATATTGGAAGAGCAATGATAGATATATTAAAGCAGACACAGAGTACAATACCATTTAAAGACAGAAACAATATTTGGGCATCTCTCTCCATTCAGTAGGTAATTTTTCCTATGATACTGCTTATTGAAATGTACTGTTTAAAATGAGAAGAATGATGTAGAATACAGCAGGATGTAAAAGCTTCTGGAAATGTCTTTGTATACCTAACCCTACAAATAAAATCTGCAACACAGAGAGAACACCTCCATACTTCCTTGGGTGTCATCATTTGGAGTTTAAAGAAATGAGTTTTTCCATTTCTGGGTGGTGGTGGTCAGTCTGATGCTCACATGGTAAGTTTGGCACATCTAACTCATCACTATCAATGTGTATAGCATTTTAGATTACATGTGACCTCAAAGGAAGTGGTGGATGTAAGTGAAGAAAGCGTGTAAATCATTCCTAGAATCCAACATTTCTGGGATGATGTAGTAGGTGGCCAACTGCATTCTTCACTTGTCTTACAATTGTTCTGATGTCACATAATGAAAACCAGTTGTCATGGATTCAGTTCTGACTCATGGTGACCTAAGTGTGTCGGAGTAGAACTGCACTCCATAAGGTTTTCAATCACTGATTTCTTTTGGAAGTAGGTCACCAGGCCTTTCTTCAAAAGAGCCTCTGAGTGTACTGAAACCTCCAACCTTTTGGTTAGCAACCAAGTATGTTCACTGTTGCACCCCCTAGGAACTTTACATGTTAAGTGTCATGGAGTTGGTTCTAACTCATAGCTGCCTTGTATAGGATTTCTAATACAAGGATTTGAACCACCAACCTTGTGGTTAGCAGTCCAGTGCTTATCCTACAGTGCTGCCAATCAGGACTCCACATAGATAAAAGCAAAAAAAAAAAGTCAATGTGGTTCTTACTGAGATTTCTTGTTTTCAGGAAAGGAGTGGAAATATCCCAAGGTCTTTTCTAGACACCCGCAAGGCCTAGAAGCATTTCTTGGGAGGAAGCCACAACTATGTGTTAAATGTTTTAAACCTGTTTTTCCTAATTCTGGTTATCTCAAAGCAAGCTGTCCATTTTGTAGATCTTTGTGCAATGTGTTAAATCAATTATTTTAAAGCTTAAAAAAACACCATGCCTCCAGGTTGCGGCTAAAGTGTAATTTTTCAACACAAAAGTGGAAGTGTCATTAAGCGCATCTGGGATTCCTAGACAGACATCTCTGGGGGGTGGAGGAGGGATTGCTCACTAGAGGAAGCCTCCCTGCATCTCCCCACTGTGAAAGGGCGAAGTGGACCTTTGATATGGGCCATCGATTGTGCTGGGATGGGAAGAAGTGGAACCCAGGGCTGTGAATGTTATCAGCGCTGCTGGTCTCACTCCCCCTTCCCTCCCCTCCCCTCCCCTCCCAGAATAAGTCTGTGGTTTCTCCCAATAAGTAAATAACTAAAGACAAATGCCTAATGTGATTTCTACCCCTGGGAGACTTTGTTTTATGCCTTGCCAGTTTTCTTTGGGCCCCTCCCTCATAGTTGATTCATCCTTCAGAAGTTATAGATTACAAACAACCATCTTCTTAGAGACCATATTGAACGTACTAATTACTGCATCACTAATAAGGCATTATTTGCAATTAGGAATGTGAATGTGTGCTTTCAGGAAAAGTGATTTCTTTTTTCCAGAAAGTGAAAATAATTAGGTGAACTTATCTCCCCCACTCGCCAACTAGATGTTTCCACAAATCTTTATTATTATTTGGTTGAAGAAATGTGCACATATTAACTGCTAAGCTGTAGTGACTACAGGAGTTGTAAAGACCTTATTACTATGCGGTTGCAGTAGAAGACACACAATTAAAGTGGTAGCATGGTTTCCAACACTCAGAGGGAGTCAGGGGGACTCTGCAGAGTCCTCTGGGGGAATCAGACAATTATTGTGGAAGGGCCTTGAGTATTGCATTCACTTCTTCAGCCACCGTGGTCAGCACAAACTCAAACTGCTCCTGTGGAGGGGAGACAAGAAGGAATCACAGATATTAGACTTGTTTTCTTCCCCCGCCCCGCCAAGCTTGAACTCTGATGTGTTGTTCTGCAGAAAGTTACTGTTTAGGAAAAAGTTAAAACTGTGTAGGTCATTCACGTACTTCAGTGGAAAGGAATCAAGGGCTCTTTGTCTTCTTTCTACAGCAGACCCAGTGTTCATGTGAACTGAAACGTCTTGTCCTGGAAAGTCACATCTTGGACCACTGGGGTAACAGCTACCAGTAGAAACAGTGACTCTGAACATGGCTTGGAGCCCCGTGGCCACGTCCTGCTGAATTCACCCAATTCTGAGAGTGGACTTGGTTAACAGGTAGGACCGGAAATGTGAGTGAGTGGACCCAGCTTTCTGACTTTCTGACCTTTAAGCCACTGCTGGTCCCTGGGAGTGAAGGCAGGGCTGTTATATCTATCCTGGGTTTAACCTGTCCTCGAAAACGTAGAAAAGAATGCTATGTTTGCTTTTGAAATCAATAGGTTATTCAGCCCAATTCAGTTTTGTTCCAATTGACATGACATCTCATCTCAATCACAAGGTTGATTAATTTTAAATGTGCATATTTTAAATGTCCAACACTACTCATATACATAAACACACATGTGGGAGAAAGCACACACCATACTTAAATGCAGAACAGTTGTGGTAGTGAATGGGTAGAACCAGAAGTGCCGTATTCCAGATGTCAGGAGTCTTCCACACACTAAATGATGTTCCCTAGGCAACTGGACTGAGAACCTCAAAGTTAGCAGTTTGAAACTACCAGCTGTTCCGTGGGAGAAAGATGAAGCTTTCTGCTCTTGTAAAGATATACAGCCTCAGAAACCCTATACAGGGTCGCTATGAGTCGGAACCGAGTCCACGGCACATAATCACCAAGCACACAGAAGGCACATCCTAACATCTTCTCAACGGCGCTCCACTCAACAACATTATGATATAAATGTCTGACTTTCTTTTTTTATTTTATTTCATTTTATTTAAGGTTTTTATTGTGGATTGAGTGAAAGTTTACAGGGCATCTCATCAGTTTTACATTCAACAAATCATACACCTTGTTTCATTACAAAGATTAGAATCCCCTCCATGTACCATCAGTTTTTTAAAAAAACAAAAAACACCACTCAGGCATATATAATAATTTACATCTCCAAAGGGCACATTCTGCAAATCTGCTCCTGGCCACCAGCTCTTAGTCCCTCTCTTCTTAGTCCATAAATCCAGAGTCCTCAGCTACTCCCCCTCTTCATGCCCTCATCTCTGCCTCCATCTCTGGATAAGGTCCCACATTCTGCTTATGCACTTCTCTCTGGATGGCCCCAGGGTCCTCTGTTTCTGGACTGTAAGATTAACCACTCCCCAATTGTGACAGTTGTGATTAGTCACGGTAACAGTTATTCACTATTGAATCTTTCGAATCTCATCCCCATCTCTTCACCAGACCCATCTAGACAAGATAACAGCTATTCAGTGGGGACTCTTTCTTTCCCCCCATACTCTTAA